CCATACATCTTCCCCAATATTTTGTGTCCAAAGCTTTGTTAAGGATCCCCTCGAGCCTTCGTTACTTTATCTTTAACTCCATAATTGCTTAATCCGCCTTGAATTCTTCTTACCTTGAAAATCAAGCACAAACATCTCATGAAGATTGACAACACTCTCACGTGGAATAATGTCACATCCCAGACCGCAATCTAAGCGCGTGTACAACCGCCGTATAATCGAATGATGTCACCCGCAGGTCAACCTCACTCAATCATACAAGGCGTTCGAGAAAACAATCCATCCATACTAAGTAGTAAACATACATAACAAACATCACAATTAAACCATTGAATAGTGGAAATATTCAGCGGTAATTCATAGGCCACATTCGGCCAATAACATGGGCATGCAAGCCCAAAGGTAGTTTATAATAAATAAAAGTATCCATGAGCAATGTTTGGTAATTTGAAAGAAAATGAGGAAGCACGAACCACGTCTTCCTTAATTTGATGTCACCCGTAGAAAGGTGCAGGTAGCAAGTCCTGGCTTCAACCTGAAAATGGTGCCCCCCAAAGGGGTCAGCACAAGTACCAAGCGAGTAGCAGGCTAAATATAGAATAACTAGTGTTTCAAGTATAAGACCCAAACGTAGGGTGATACTTATATAAATAGTATTTCCCCCCAAGTTGAGAAATACTTATTAGTATATATACACTTGGAAAATACCCGATCCGTGGATCACTGTTTTGTTTGGGAAAATTGTAGCAGCCAATATTCTTGACTGAAAACCCCAACCCACCCATATACCTATGAGTGTATATGACTCCTCCTTGTCCATATTCACATACCATAAATTATGAGTTTTGAGGATCATAATCCTTGGGTACTCCACCAATTTATAATCCGAGTGTTAAAGACTTTAAGTCCTAGGGTCCTCCACCAATTTATAATCCGAGTGTTAAGGACTTTAAGTCCCAGGGTCCTCCACCAAAATATGAGTGTTAAGGACTTTAAGTCCTAGGATCCTCCACCAAAATATGAGTGTTAAGGACTTTAAGTCCTAGGGTCCTCCACTAAAATATGAGTGTTAAGGACTTTAAGTCCTAGGGTCCTCCACCAAGTTTACAATCCTATGATTAACCTCCTATCAACCTAGATAGGGTCTATATCATATTTAAATCATTCATAGCTAAATCAATACATAAAGCTTATGTATCACAATCCATGCAAAGTCATGCATTTATATAAATTTATAATTAACTAATACTAACCGGTATTAATTAATCCATTATCCATCGGTCAACGTTTCGTTGACCGCCATTTCAAGCCTTGTACGTATCAACTTAATCATCATATAATTAAGTTAATAATATTCCTTTGTACATCTCTTACACCTCAAGCAAAAATGCATTTTATATAATTCCTCATATCATATTTCATGCATAAACAATTATTTCCTTTCATACAAACTTAACCATGTTGGCTAATCACATGTTTAAACACCTTTTAAACATAATTATGAACACATATAACTTTTATTTAGGTAATATCATAATTAACCCAAAAGTTATAAGATATTAAGCCGTCCACTCACCTTAAATAAGCTTTAGCGCGTTCTACGCTTCTCGGTTGGATTCCGGCGAAACTCCGGTGAAACTCCGGCGAACTCTAGAAACACTTTCTTCATGTTCCTAACATGTTTTTATCATCACAAAACTCATATCAATACAAATAACTTCTAAAAGGTTATTTTCCGGTGAACCGGTCATTTTGGCTTCTAAGTCCGTTCTTGGACTTAGAACCACCTTCCAACCCCTCATTCTACATTTCTAAACATGTAGAACAAGCCTAGGGATTCCTCACATGCTACATAAGCCACATGATAAATAAAAGGTAGAGGAAAGGTTATTATAAGGTTATTACCTTAATCACCACACCTTTCCCTAACTTTTTCCTTCTTTTAATCTCCCTCCTTGGACCTTGTCTTCTTGAGCTCACTTGGCTATGGAGGAAAATGAAGTTGCAGAGCTTATTCCTCTTACTTGGGGTGTGCTTGGCCAAAAATGAGGGGAGAGAGGGATGTGGATGAGCTTTTGTCTCATTAATCCAATGAGTGTAGAATGAGGGTCCACCTTAGGTACCTTTGATGCCATTTCCTTGGTATCATAATCCCCTCCCCATATTTCCTTATCCCACCATCCAGACAACACTCTATTTGAGTGTCTAGATTCGTGGGTTGGCCCCCACTCATGTGGGAGGTCAACCCTTTTTATCCCGAAGTGTACAATCGGTCCCGAAAGTTGTATTTTTTGGACTGTTTAAATATATTTGAGTTTATCGGGGCAAATAAAATATATTATGTGCTCTTACTCATTATAACATTTATAATGAATATACATTCCTAACTTTTAATTTATAAGCCTCCGAAATTCATTTCCGGGTTGTCATCTGTTAAATTGTCGGTACCGGTATTTGGGCCTCTTTTGCCCAATCGGTCAACTTCGGGCCTTTCCACGACCCAAATAAAATATCCACCACCATATAAATAGTATCTTCACCAAGATGAATAAAATATGTTGTCTCAGGAAAGTTGGGTGGTCCCCGCCCCTGATGTGGGTCCCACATGCAATTTACTATTCACGCGAAAGAATTAATAAAGATTTACAACTTCATAAATTCATTGATCATTCCATAGTGTCTAATACAATACTACTAAGAAGTAAATATAATTCGGGAACGGTGTTACAAATAACCTTACAATGAGTGTAGTTAGTTCTCCAAGTAGTCAAAACTAAGAAATAGTCAGTTTGAGTACTATTAAGTGTTCTTTATTGTTAACTATTGTTAACTAATGTGTCGAGGCAAAATACAAACTGTTCTTTTTCCGTTTCATGTCTAGTGTCAAAATCATGTCCTCCATGGATACTCCCAAAATCATCAAAACTTGGGCTCACATGCCCGTTATGGTCGCCTTCTATGATCAACTTGTCTCCCCATGGCAATCATGGCATCACTTCCTCAAGATCTTCCAAAATTGTTGAATGATATGTGCATCTAATCTCATTTGTGGTGCATAAGAAATTATCTCATCTTCTATCACCAATTTAATACTGATGATACAGATGTTCCATCACACCTTCAACATAGCCACATGTCACAATAATGCATATTCCATTTCTAGTCCGCTCTCTTCTCAAATACCACAACTTAAAACTTCCTACATTAATTAAATATCGCATGCCTTTTCTCCAATCACTTGGTTTCTTGCACACACATAATGATAATATTTCTCCTCCTCATAACCTTGACTAGCATGAAAAATTACGGAGTATATTTTAAAACATCTTAAACAGAAAAAAGGTCTACTACTTCCGCCCCAAAATATTCTTCTCACTTAACTTTTTGGGATGTTTCAAAAAAACTTTCTTATTTCTTTTTTATGAAATGATTTGTGTACCTATCATTCATTTACCTTTTTTGTACTCAATAACAATCGTATATTTTTAATTTATTCTCACTTTGTTAGTAGACGTGTCATGTTAAATGAGAAGTATTTTTTGGGACGGATGGAGTATTATATTTGGCTCAAGTCAAATTTTTTGGTAGCAGTCCAATTCGAATAGGTTAGCCCAGTTCAAAGAACTTTCATTAAAAAATTTGTACTTTAAATCGAATTTTCAAATTAAATTACTTTCAAATACAAATCACATATAAAAACACATATAACGGTCTTCAAAGCCGCCAACATTTTTAGTCCAAACAATAAAAAATTCTTAATATTCTATTTAAAACATACATGAATCAAATATTATGAGTATTCTAATCTATATTAATTTTGTTGAAAATTCTATGTATTATGTGCTATCGTTTAGATATAATGTTAAGTTATTTCAAATCATATTATATATTTTATGTATTTTTAGCTGATATTGGGCTCCCTTTTATTACACTAAATTCCAATTTAATAGACTTGAGCTAACACCGGTACGTTGATTTATGTTTGATTATTTGGATAATTTATTTGTTATTTCATTATTTGACTATCTTCTTTTAACTCTATTTGATTTATGTTTGTAGAACTGTACATAAAACTAGATTATATTTGATTGCATGGAAGGATTATTTGAGCTTCTTATATTTTGAAGACACTTCAAAACTCACTGAAATTCATTTGAATCAACGCAATTCTTTAATATAGAATTTCATAGAATTCTACTACAATCTTATAGAATCTAATCTTATAGAATCTATGTTGGGGATCACAAATTATATCGTACATCCACTTGTACCGTGCGCACGGTATAGTCGAGCTTTTGTTAATGTGCACCACGCTCGTCGTCGCTCATACTACCAACCTTTGCCTCAAGTCCTCTGCTTCAGGTCCATATTCCCCATCCAGGCTTAGCGACCAACAATGAAACACAAAACAACGTGCTCCCACCAACAACGACCTACAGTGACGACGGGCGACCTCCAGCCACGAGCGACCGGCAACAACCTCCGGTGGCGGGTGTGGATCCAGGTGGTGAGTCAGCGACTGAGCTCCACTATTAGTGACAAATGAGTAACATAAACCGAAGGAGCTTTCCGTGAGTCTATGACTCATCATTCTGTCTATTCTCTTCTTCGTGAACCTGAGATTCCGATTCTTCAGAGCCCATTGCCTCGCCGTGTTCATTTCTCACTTGTTGCCTTTTGCTACATTCGTCAAATTGTAGAAATGAGTTTAATGTTAAAGTTAAATAAGTATAATACCTAAAAAGAATGAACATACACAAATGAATATTGAACAAATTATATATGAGTTTTATGTTAAACTCAAATGAGTACAACGCCTAAAATGAATGAGCATACACAAATGAGCTTTTGAATGTTTCGATACTCATTATGTAAGTTAGATTCAAGTAGAAGTCAATTATAAATATGAGAACACAAACAATGATACTCAATTGCATGTTTCATGAAGATGTCTTGATGTTTAACTAAAAAAAACTTATCATGCTTAATAAAAAACAACCGGGTTCAGCTCGGATTCGGGTCTAGATCAGACCCATTCATATGCCTACCCATACTGAATACGGAAGCCCATTCGGTCATTTCACGGACCTAGAACCTAACCCCAACGATTGTACTCCGTATATTTTTTCAGTCCAAAACCCTAGCTGGCAGGGGCAATCCCATCGCCTCGTCTTCGTCTTCTTCAAGGTGAGTTCACTCTGTGTTTTTCGCCGCATTTCATCGACCTCTAACTTTTACACTTATAAATATAAGCGTCATCCACTATATTTAAATTTGCACTGTTCAAGATCTGCGCCTTTCGTCAGTGTTTAGGTTTTTCATCTGACGCCGATTTGCTGTTTTTGTGTCTCCATTAGGCAGGCTCCGTGATACACAGCACCAATGGCCCCGAAAGGTACGCATAGTTCGAGGGATTTTATTGTCTCTGTGTCTTTCTTTTTTATTATCACTGAGTAGAATGTTTCGTCTGCCTAGCTTGCTTCCGCCTCTCCCTGATTATGAAAGAAGTTTCAAAAGAATAAATGTGGTTTCTTTTTTCGTAAATTTGTATACTTTATATCTTTCTATAAAAATTGGTTCTCTGGAGCCCCATCTAAACAGAGCTGAGTGCCCTCAAATATTTAAATCACGGTTTGTACATTTTTAATTAATCGAATTTCATGAAGTTGAGTCAGAGATTCTTAATATTTTTTGTATGTTAATATAGAAGTGATTTTTTTGAAGCGCTCTTTCAGCACAGATAGGACAATGATTGGACACAACCTGATTTATTAAAAATATTATAACAATGTTGTTTTGAACTTTTGATAAAATGGGTATTATACACACGAATCTTACACTCTGTTTTATAGATCAGTGCCATGATTAAGGTAGGAAAGATGATTCACACGAGATAATCTGTTAAACACCCTACATACTACCCTCATGATAACATCAAGCAACTTCTTGCTCATTTAATCTTAGCCCAGCATTTAATATGGCTTGCATGCATATGTAGTCACTTGGATTCTTATGGTGACAGGTGAATCTGCTAAGAAAGTTGATCCCAAAGCTCAGGCTGCAAAGGTTGCCAAAGCTGTGAAAGGCACAACCTTCAAGAGGAAGGGTAAGAAGATCCGCACAAAGGTCACATTCCATAGGCCCAGGACATTGAAGAAGGAAAGGAACCCTAAGTATCCTCGCATCAGTGCTCCTCCCAGGAACAAGTTGGACCACTTCCAAATTCTCAAGTATCCATTGACCACTGAGTCTGCTATGAAGAAGATTGAGGATAACAACACATTGGTGTTCATTGTTGATATCCGGGCTGACAAAAAGAAGATTAAGAATGCTGTCAATAAGATGTATGGGATCATGACTAAGAAAGTGAACACTCTAATCAGGTATATACAAGCACTGTCTTACATCTATTTGCTTCTTTCGGCAAAAATTTTATTCGTGTTATAATTTGCTTAGAAAAGCTATATCTTATACTCCATGGGAAAGAAGGGTTTTGTGATTTATCTAACATTTGAAGGTGTTTTTGGGAAAGAGGCATTTATTTGTGTATCCTAGCTTCACTATCTTATTTCTTTTGTTTCATTTTGGCTATGGTCGACATGACATTTGAATGTATGAAGCAATCAAATTTGAGTAAAATATTTCAAAAGCTTAAGCATTTTTAGGTTTCATAGTCTCTATTATACAAATATGTTTAAAAACTTAGTTTGAACAAATACTACTATTTAATACCCATTTAAGCCCCAATTGAGATTGTGTTTACTTTTGTGACCATACCTAACCCTGAACAAATTACATTTTTGTCTCAAAGGCCAAAGCTGTTCTGAAATTCTGATATTAAAACATTTCTTCCCTAGACGTTTTAAAACTGCACCTATCAACATTCAACAACAATTCCTCACAATAATCTGTAAAATTATCTGTAGCACATTTTAACAAGGAGTTATATAATCTCAACCCCGATACCAAATTAGGACGCCGTATTGAATATTGAGTTTAACTCCTTTTTCTTCTAAAGTTTTTCGCTATTATCCTCCCTATAATTATTTTCCAGTTTCTGGCTCACCCATGGACTTGGGTGTGAGTTGTGCTTGGATGGAGTATTTTTGAGAAGACTTTGGATGACCTAGTCTTTATCTTGATAAATTTAATGTTTCTAAATACAAATAGTAATAGAAATGTTTTATGATCACATTCATGTGAATATTCAAATTTTCAATTTTATAAATCTTACAAAAATAGCAAGATATATAGACTGATTCAAACCACTACACCCCATCAGGTTTAACTGTCATTTGTGATGATACAGTCTTGTAAATCACCTGTCAATTTCTTGTCAATGTAGGCCAGACGGAACTAAGAAGGCATATGTTCGGTTGACCCCAGATTCTGATGCCCTGGATGTTGCGAACAAGATCGGGATCATATGAGCATAATGTTATGTTTGATTGTCTAGATACTATGTTTACAGTTTTGAATTACTACTGTTCAGAGATTCTTGTGATTGTGTTCAAGTAGAGTTTAAATCAGTTCCTAATTTTATCAACTATACACTAATGTGATATAAATCTCTTATTGTAGTTTTGTATTGAACCTGAAATCTTTGACCCCTTTATAGACTAGTTCGACCGCCCAGCAAGTCTTACACTCATATAAGGTTTAGATTCAAAATTAAGTCATCCTTCCATGTAGATATGTGCTGACTGCACCATTTTGTATAAAAGGGGTAGCAATGTAGCATACTACTACTAACGAACTAAAATTTTCATAAAAAATGCATAGCCGTTCTACTTGTACACATTTTTTTTACATACTCGTAGTTGCATGTGTACATGGGTAGGTTCTGAACGAGCTATTTGGGTAGGTTCTGAACGAGCTATTTGTGTACATAGGCAACTAAGGGTGCGTACAACTTATGTGTCAACAAACAGTTTTTTCAAAAATGCATCACTTTTTAGAAGTGCATGTGTGCATTTTGCCCAGGTAATGTTTTTTATATTGCACAGTGGGCAGTTGAGCAACATATAAATTAGGGGAAACTACCTATGTAGGACTAAAGTTTATGTAAATTTTCAAAATATAACCAGACATTATCATTATTATTCTAATCATAATCATTATAATCAGATGGAGGGTTCATAACAAAATGCGTGAAGTTGTTTGCACCATATAAAAATTGTTGTTTAGTGCTGTGGTTTTTTCCCTAAGTTATCAATGTCTGAAATATAAATTGTTTTAAGCATGTGGCTTTTAGGTGAAATTAAAAATGACGGGACTGAATTGATACCAACTAAATAAAATAAGGATTAAAATGATAAATTTATTAGTTCAGGGACTAATAAAGCAATATGGTGACGATAGTTCAATGGTCATTTGTGCATTTTTTTCTTCATATTTGAAAACAAAGAAAAAGTTGAAAGAAGGAACAGATGAGGGGGCGACTAATAGATTAAGATTTGCTCCCGAAATTTTCTAGGATTAGAAATTAAGAACTCAACAAATTACTATGTATTATACTCCGTCCGTATAAAAATGTTTGACACAATATTTAAGGGAAAAAACGGTACCATAAAAATAGCAGATAATTGAGTATGAAATTATGAATGCGTGAGTAGAAAAGAAAGTTAAAAAATATGAAAGAGAGGATAGAATATAAATTATATCTTACACCCGGGTATGAAATTTTGAATGCGTGAGTAGAAAAGAAAGTTAAAAAGTATGAAAGAGAGGATAGAATATAAATTATATCTTACACCCGGGTATGAAATTATTAATGCATGAGTAAAAAAGAAAGTTAAAAAGTATGAAAGAGAGGATAGAATATAAATTATATCTTACACCCGGGTATGAAATTTTGAATGCGTGAGTAGAAAAGAAAGTTAAAAAGTATGAAAGAGAGGATAGAATATAAATTATATCTTACACCCGGGTATGAAATTATTAATGCATGAGTAAAAAAGAAAGTTAAAAAGTATGAGAGGATAGAATATAAATTATATCTTACACCCGGTGTATCCTGTACACCCGTTATTTTTGTAATATGTATCAATTTTAAGTCTTTGATTCTATCATCTTCCTCGCTGAATCATGATGTTCGCTCCTGCTGCTTTTTTCTTTCTTCTTCGGCGCTCGCTGTTGCTTTTCTTTCTTCTTCCGCTCGCTGTTGCTTTTCTTTCTTCTTCCGATCCCTGTTGCTTTTCTTCTTCCGCCGCCATTAGATTCACTTGTGCAGTTGTTGTGCGGCGCTAGATAACTGGTTTTTTGTTCTACACTTATTGTTTCCTATTATATTGATACGCTACAAGTATTGGGGAGTAACAGTATGAGTTCTTCACGAGAGAGTGATTTTATTTTACCTTTTTTGTTTTGCGTTTTTTATTTTTTTTTTGTTACTTTTAGTGCTAGTTGTTTTTACTTTCTTTTCCTTTGTCTTTTTTCTTTTCTTCTTTTCTCTTCTGTTTTTGTTGTTGTTTCCTTCTTTCTTTTTTCTTTATATATTAAATATTGAGCACATTAAAAATGAGTTTTATTTTAAACTCAAATGAGTAAAACGCCTAAATAGAATGAACATACACAAATGAGCTTTTGAATTTTTGAAAACTCATTTTGTAAGTAATGTATGTCCATTTAGTACCTCTGTTATACTCATTTTAAAGTGTTATATCAATGCGGTTTGATATAATTGTTTTGATACCCACTGAAAGTGTTTTGATGATCAACGAACAAAACTTACAATTTTTATATCAATGCTCATCTTGTAAGTTATATATGCTCATTTGTATTTGATGCTCATTAAAAATTTATTAATGCTCATTTAACAGAAATCGTGAATTCCATCAATGCACATTTTGTAAGTTACGTATGCTCATTTGGTACTCATCCTATGCTCATTTAATAAGTTTTTATAAAAGAAAAAATAACAAAAAGAAAGTGAATTAGAAGTTATGAAGTAGAGACCACGTTTCTGAATATTAGACTTCTAATACTCAACATAATAAGTCCGATGCTCATTAAAAGTTCATTAGTTCCCATTCAACAGAAATCGTGATTTTCATCTTAATAGCAGAAGTTTAAGTTATATACGTGAGACAGATTCTACTCCATTTTTTAATTTTTTTTATAATACCTCAGGAGCTAATGAAACGAGTGCTTAATTAAAATGTCGTGATATTCATATCAATGTGCACTTTGTAAGCTATGTATGCTCATTTTGTATTGATGTTGTGCTCATTTTTGAATTGTTATATCAATGCATATTGCAAAAGTATAAAATTACATTAGACTCGCATATTGAAATTAATAGGAGTGTATTATAGATATAATTTAATAAGTTTTTATAAAAGAAGAAATAGGAAAAAGAAAAAATAATTAGAAAATATGAAGCAAGGATCGTGATACTCATTGTTAGTCTCTTAAATACTCATAAAAATGGGTCTGATGCTCATTAAAAGTACAATATTGCTCATTTAGCGGAAGTCATGAATTTTTGCTTAAATTACAAAAATGGCACCAATTTTTTTGACATGTATTAGTGATTGGACTGCCTTTCTTACTTGTGCCGGGTGTGCATACACCCGGATGCACTATATACGCACTGGAATATACTCCATATAAGAATAAGTGTAATTGAATATTTTTAGAACGAAAATTTATCAAAATAAAATGCATCCCAAAAAAGAATGTGTAACAAATATTTCAATACGTAGGGAATAGTTATTCGTAACAAATAAAATACTTTTTCCGTTCCATTTTGGTTGTCTTACCACTTTTCTCAAAATGAATATCGCATGTCTTTTTTGGGCAAGAAATATGTAAATCATATCATTTCTCTCTATTCTTCTAAAATTTGGATTACATGTATTACTTTTCAACCACTTCATTGATATTTGTGCCATAAAACCAGACATGCATTATGGGATTGAGGTAATAATACTTTTACAAAGTTTGGTTTATTGTATGAAATAATTATTTATTTATTACTAACATGAAGATTGCTTGCAAAAATGTTACTACCGACTAGAGTAGTAATTACCTATTTATAAAGATTGTATAAATCACAGTAGCTTATGTTCCAATTTTGAGACTTAAGTTACCATGATACTAAATTCTACTTCGTAATAATTATTAGTTATATTTGTGTAATAAATTTTTATTTTAGTACCCCATCGTTCTTTAATAATTGTCTCTGTATTCTTTTTCGGGATGTTTTTTATTACTAGTCTCTCTTTTTTCTTTTAATAAGTTTTTTCTATCAAAATGCTTTTATATACTCTCACTTTTATTACCCTCACCTATCTTACCTTTTACGGAATACAAATTAGTGAAATTACTTTCTCTTTTCTATTTTTTCATTATTTTTCTCTTTTTAATATATTCCCTTTCTTATTGATAGAGTATTAACTCCTAGATTCTAGAGAGAAGGGAGAGCTAGAGAGAGAAGTGAATTGTATTCATGAATTTTGTCACCCCTATAACTACTCCCAAGGGGAGTATTTATAGAGAAAATTAGGGTTGGGCTCCCAAGTCTTGGGCTTGGGAGGCCCATTTACAACTGGACCGCTACTGGGCCGAATACAAAGCCACTAATGGGCTGTATAAATGAATAAGTATAAAATCCGATTCTGTGAGGTCTTCGTGGCCGACAAGGGCGTGGCCGACGAGGGCGCGGCCGACGAGGGCACCCGGGTTCCTTGGACTCAGGACCATAATCTGAGTTGGCCCCTTTTCGGCCGACGGGGGCGTCTTGGCCGACGAGGGCGCCACTCTGTCTTGTGCTTTCTATTCTTCCGAGTATGTGGGTCCGGGGGCTCAGACCCATATACTCCATCAGGAGTCCCCCACTCTCTAAGATGAGATGTAGACGAAGTGAAGGAGAGTAGATTCCTGTGCTTTAGTGCTTTTGGCCGTTACCTGTCCCTCGCTGTGGGCGGGGAGGCCGTTGTTTCCTTAGGGTGTTCATTTGAGGATGATAGGTGTCTTGTTTCAATGGCGGCCATTGAAAGGTACGTTTCGCTTGGGCGTTGATGGTTGAAGTTTGTGTTTGGGCCGATGAGGCCACTGAAGTTGATCCTTGCTTCGAGGACGATGGCGTCCTTTCCTTTGGGTGGCCGATGAGGGTGCTCGTGCACTCCTTTAGGCCGTTGTTGATGATGTCATGTGCCTCTGGCCGATGTGTCCATTGTGATGCGTGGACGATGTGGCCATGCTTTGTGGTTACATTCATGTTCTTTGCATTGTTGCTTTTTGTTTCGTTGAGGCCGATGTAGTCCCCCAGTCCCCCACTGCTTCAGGCCGAAGAGTGTGAGGGGTGAAGGAGTTGCATGAGTCCCTGGCCGAAGCGGTCTCTCCGTAGTCCCCCTGAATCCAACCCTCATGGCGATTTTCTGGCCAAGGTAACCCTGTGGGAGAACCCTTGTGCGCAGATCGCTTGTAGAGAGTTATCATCAAGGGTTAGTAAGAGGAGCCGATGGCTGTGGGCTCCTTTGTTCATTTTGTTCTGTGGCCGTTATGGGCGTTTGTTACGTTCCTGGCCGTTGCCGTCTCCTTATTGTTTGGCAGTTGTGATCTTGGCGAGCAAGTGGGACGTTGTGGGCGCTTGCTGGCATATGTAAAGCCGGTAAGCGTGTGGGCCGTAGAGTCTGCCTTGGCATTGGGCTCTTGATATGTAGATTGGCCCGTTGGTGACGTGGTGGCCCCCCATTGGTGGCCGTTGGTGTGGCCATTGGGAGGGTGCCACGTGTAGTGACCGTTGGGTGGGGGGTTCTATAAATACCCCTCCCCCTCCGACGAGAAACCACATTTGCATTCTGAATTGTCGAAGTGCTGGCCATTTTTCTAGAGAGATAAACTCCCAAGCTTGTTCTTCGTGTTCTTCGTTGTTCAAGGTTAGTGTTCATCGCGATCTTCCTCACTTTTCATATTTTGCTTCCTAGACTATTGATCTAGTGTTAGGCGTTTGAACACCCTTAGATCTTAAGTTAGTCTCCTTAGGCCCGTAGTAGTAGTTATGAAGAGCTTGAACGAAGACTACTACCCCTACGACGACCAGCCCTCCACGAGGTCACTTGACTACGAGGTGCTCGAGGAGTTCGAGGAGGAGATAGAGCATTTAAGTCCCTACAAATCCGAAGAGCCGGTGGACGAGGAAGGCGAGGACGAGGAGTCTGCCTCCTCTTCAAGAGGTGAGGGCGTAGGTGCGTCCCGAGTGGTGGACGGGGCGTCCACTTCTGCTGTCATTCCCTGCCCAAGGCCGGTGTCTGCCGTAAAGGGAGCAGTTAAGCCGAAGAGGGTGAGGAGGCCGAAGAATGGGCCGGGCCTCTCCTACCTGGACCTCACCAATATCTTCTTGATCAAGCCGGAGAGCAATGCGGCCGACTATCTTGTTGCCCAGATGTACGTGGGGCCGTTCGGGCGGGTTAGGGCACCCAGGCCGACGGACCATGTTCTTCTTCCGCCACCGGGATACTTTGGAGTATACCCGATGAGTTTTGCTAAGGGGTTGAGGTTCCCCCTTCACCCTTTCATTACTGAGTACCTGGACATGGTAGGGCTTCCTCCGGCCTTGCTGACGCCGAACAGCTACTCCTTGATGGTGGGGTTTTTGCTCCGGTGTGTGGAGCTAGGCTACAGGCCGACAACGGCCCTCTTCATGAATCTGTACCAGATCGGCCGAGGAAGTCACAAGAACTGTGCGGCCTATGCTACTCTTCAACAGCTGCCGAAGAAGAGGAGCTTCACGGACTTGCCTTCGTCCATTCATGGGTGGAAGAGCAAGTTCGTTTTCGTATCCCTGGGTGAGAGTGGCACCGAGTTCCCCTCTCTCGGCCATACCGGGAGGTTCAATCTCCATGACCCGCCGAAGAGCTCTATCTTGGACGCTCAGGTGGAGGCTTTCCTGGAAGGGGGGCCGAGGAGCGTGAAGGATTACGTTACTGAATACAAGATGACCGCCCTCGGCTTCTTCAGATACCATCTGTATGGTGATAAGAAGGATGACCTCCAACTCTGGCCGAGGATGACCACCACATTTGAAGAGGCCGACGGCCCGGATTTGGGCATTCCTGCTGAGGCCGATGGTAATTATTTCTTCGGCTTTCTGTCTTTATGTTTTGTCCTTTGCCTTACTAATCTGTTATGTTTTTCCTTTGTAGATTTTGCCATGGACCGGCGTTCCATAATGACTATTGCCAAGGCCAAAGCGGCCGAGGAGCTGGCTGCTAAGGCGGCCGAGGCGGCCAGACGTGCCGCGGCCGGTGGGAGTGGGGCTACTACTGATGCGCCCCCAAGGCCTGCCCAATCGAAGAAGAAGAGGCCGACCACTGACGG